AAAAAAAAAAAAAAAAAAGAGTTCGGTGGATCTTTCGGTCTAAATTCAGATATAATGATGGTACGTTGTATTCGGGGGAAGACTGTAGCTGATGGGGCTGTGACTACTACTGAGCTAACAGCCGGGTCAAATGGGCTAGGTCTTGTGGAGATCACCACCTGGAGTGTGCTGATGCTTGCTCTCCATGTACCACTACTACCCTTGGGTTTGGAATTTCTTGGGCTTTGAAAAAAAAAAAAAAAAAAAAAAAAATCTTGGGTTTGAATTTGATTGATTGTGGCCCCCTCCACTTGCGATCATGCAAGTTTTAGGATGGGGCAGGCAGATTCGAACCGTAGCCCTGGCAGTGGAAGGAGTAATGGATTCGATCCTGAGCCCGGGTCTTGTTTCGATTGAATTTACGTTTTCTGAGATTTTGCTAGTTCAAGGATGAGGCAGTTGGATTCGAACCAGAGCCCTGGCGGTGGAAGCAGTAGTGTGCCAGTGGCTAGCGGATTTCGAACACGAGCCTTGTTATTTGTTTTGGTTTTGCTTTTACGATTTTAGTGAGTTCCGTCTATTCCTTTGTCCTGACCGGCCTGGCCGACAGACCGCAGCCTGACTGTGGTCTTGGCCCAAGGGCGAGACCAGGGTGTAGATAGTTCCAGTTAGTACTTTATCAACAATACGGCATCATGTTATCGGTCTTCCGGGCTTAACGCAGACGACCGTCGTCATCTCCGGAGATGTACGACTCGCCGTGCTGACGTTGAGGTTGGTGGTGAACGAAGCAAGTACTAGGGAAGGAGTTGTGGAGGAAAAGGGGGTTGCCATGCCCACCGGAGGTGAACCTTGTTGTTGATNAAGGGGGTTGCCATGCCCACCGGAGGTGAACCTTGTTGTTGATAATGGATTTGTTACACATTTTGTTGTGGCATTTTTGTTACACATCTTGCTGCCACATTTTCGAGGTTTTGGTCTGAGTACTACTCTATCCGTACCTCCTCTAATTCTATACCTTCTGAAGGCACATGTGAACCTGCCTGGATACGACTGCCCGGGCTTGAGTGAGCATGTTAATGTGACGTGGAGAGTTACGACTACGTTTGCAACTGGTTGTGTGCTACGTGACTACGCATCGAGATTGACGAAGTACTGGCGGCTATGGCGGATCGAAGTTCAAGAGATACGGGACGCGACTACGACAGAGAATGGAGGGGCACTAGACAAGTTGGACACCGAGAGGAGCGGCGAGATGGGCACAGACCAACGGAGCGTGAACACTATGGTGAAGAAAGAAGTGATAACTCATGTGAACGTGGGTACTCTTCAGGAGACTATCGAAGGAGAGGACCGCCCGCCTGTTTCGAATGTGGCCAAGTTGGCCACTACCGTAACCAATGTTGGAAGCTGACGGGTGCACGTACGTCGAAGCAGGGAGAAGAAAGAGGGCCGGGGATTAAGGAAGGAAGGGAGGCGTCACCGGCGAAGGAAGCATTGATGAAGAAGGTGGAGAACTTGGGATCGTCGCTAGCAACCATGCAGGAGTTTTTTGCGAAGGAGAACAAAAAACGGGAAGAGAAGGAACAGCGGAAGAAGAACAAACTCTTGAAGAAGCAACGGGAGCAGGAAGAAGAAGAGGCGAGAAGATCGGAAGAGGCCGCGCGGCAGGAAAAACAGAGGCGGAAGATAGCGAAACTACGGGAAGCAGAAGAGGCTAAACAACAACTACGGAAAGAACTGAGGATGGAAGTAGCGATGGCCGTCGGCGGACTCGAAGAGGAAGTGTGTGGACGCGTTCTTCAAACTGTTGTACAGACAGCGATGTTACAAAAAGGGAAACAGAAAGTGGACCTTGATCACGGAACAACGGGCAAATCGGCCAGTGATACTGAAGATAGCGAGGTGGAAAGGATCAATATGCAAACAAGGCGCATGGCGATTAGCGAGAAGCGGAAGCGGAGTACTGAGAAAGCGATTGGGGACAGCCCGCCGATGGAACAACATCCGAAACACACGCCCAAGACCCCGAACCTGCGGCCAGTGCAACTATCCAGTAGACTGCAGAAAGCTACAGGGAAGAAGACCGAAAAAACACCGAAGAAGTTTACGCCCAGGCAGGGGACACCGAAGACGAAGATTGCTGCCATGATCGGCGTTGCCGGGCGTGTTAAGTTCGTACGAGAAAACGTATGTCAGCTATCGGAGTTGCAGGCTGACGAGTTAAAGGAGATTTGCAAAAAGGAAGAAGTCGACTACGTGAACAAAACGATAGCAGCGATGAATATTGCGGAGAAGTGGGCAGCAGAAGCCTATGACAGTACTCAAGTCGAAGTGGCCAACACATTGACTACAGCGGTAGAGTCGACCAATTTGGAGTCGTTTGAAGACAATAACGAGGCGTCAGGATCGGAGGAGGACTCGACGCAAGGGGAGGAAGAGATCGCATAAACCAGTGAAGATGACGACTGCTTGCTGCTACTGATCCAACACCTGACGGAGGTGAGACGGACAGAGAAAGTGAATGGTGACATCGAGAGGATTTACCGTATGGCCATAATCCTATTGGTAGTAAGCGGGCGCATCAGCTGGCGGTTGAAATGCGTAGATACCTGGTGTATGTTGTATCGGAGTGAAGGGGTGGATTTTGTCGCTGGAAGTAATATGGTTTACTTGTTGGCTTCACCGTATTGCCGCGCGCAGTACGTCGGACAAACATCAAGGGATATCAACCTGAGGTGGCGCGAGCATCTGGGGCGGTGCAAGAATCGCAGTAAGGACACGCATCTGTACCGATGGTGCCAGAACTACGGTTGGGAATCATACGTGTTATTGCCACTCACACGCTGCTCCGCAGAAGCACTGTTAGCTCATGAGCAGCTGTACATCCATCGGTGGAGCCCTATTCTCAACACTAATGGCGTGCGAAGGAAGCGAGGGAAGAGGAACAAAAAGCGCAAAGGGAAGAAGGAACGTCGAAGGATGGAGCTCGCACCATTGGTAACTTCGCGTGAACAGAGAGTGTTGCCAGTAGCTGTACGAGTTATCGGACGGACCGACAGGACTCATGACGTCCACAGGTTGCTGACCGATTTGGAGAAGGCAGGCATCCGAAAGCTCCAGCTCAAATCAAGCGGTGGTAACTGCTGGTTGGAAGTCTGGAAGCGGATCCGTAAAGCGTTCGGTACATCACCAGTCGATAACCCAGGGATTGGGCAGACGCTGGCAACTAGCAAGAGAGCTCTCGAAGAAGGTGGCTTGTTGATAATATGTTACTTACGAAGATGGCATCCGCAAATCACACAAGATAAGCAAGTACTTATTAAATACTTGCGTAACCCGAAGACGTTAGAGGAGTTGAAGCACCAGACGGAGGATCGATTGTTCAAATTGTATCGAGCAGCGAAGACCTTCCAGAAGAAAGGGACACGTGCTTATTTGAGACGTGTCTTGTCAAGAGAAATTAAGAATGCTTGTAACTGGCAAATGAGCGTCGATCTGTGCGTCAAACTGAAGTTTGATGACCGAGTTAAGTTGTCAGAGGTAAGAAAACTGACGAACGACAAGATCATGGAACTTGAACTACCGACCTGTATGATGAAGAGAGCACATAGCAAGGTCAACATTGTATGGGTTAAAAACCCGTCGGTCGGAGACTTGCTATACAACCAACGGACATACGCGAGAGCGGACGTCTGCACCTGCACTTGTGCAGGTCTACCCTATCCACGGATAGGAGAGCATGTGCACTTCAGATTACAGGAGTTGGTAGGAATTGATCCGATGATATGTAATGCAAGGAATGTGTCGAAGACCGCTCATCCGGTACGGGAACAGCTGTTGGTAGAAGAGATACGTGGCACGTTTGTTTCATGGCCGAACTTAGGAGGAAGGGAGGTGCCTTATCGTTGACAGAGGCAAGGAAGTGTTTGATGAAGCCGGGGAACACTTATTGTAAGCACCTGACGGTGAGTGCAGTCAAGGAGTTGAGCAAACGACTTGACGGGTTGGTGTGCACACCCCTCGATAGGAACCCGGGGGAAACACTTGTGCTCTGCCCGCTGCTGTATCATGAAGCCATGATGACTACTTTTGTCTGCAACGATGGGTATGAAATTGTGAAAGAGAAGGATGCAGTGGTGATGGAGGAAATGAAAACGGACTTGAAGGTGATGGGGCTGAGTCGTTTCGCACGTTTCGACGGACGGGGAAGCTTCGGTGCAGCATACGTCCCACCGAAGCATAAGGACCTGGAAAGATTCCGTCCAATCTGCCCATCTCACTCCGAGCCGATCGTATGAACATCTAGATGCGCAGCCAAAGCACTCAATCATCTGCTTTATTCGTTACCGAAGGAGGTACACTTTAACCTACGGGCAGTATCCGACCTGGTTCCGCGTCTGCACAAGGCGAACTCGAAGATCTCGAGGATGACGAAATGCGATGCAACGATATATGCGATGTCATATGACATCAAAGATATATTTAGCAAAATGCCGCACGAAGAGATAGTGGCGGCTGTGGATTGGATTATCGACCATTTTCGGGCTAAAGGCAAGACGATGGTCAAAGTTAATCCGAGGGGGCGAGGATGCTCTTTTGGGATCACTACAGGTGGTGACCACTGGCGCGCCATTGATCTCGAAGACCTATGACGTTTCGTGTACTTCGAATTGGAAGACACATATGTGAGAGCAACCAACGTATTGCTGAAGCAGGCAGTCGACATTCCGATGAGAAGGAGTACCAGCCTGCCGCTGGCGTGCATCATGTGCGCTCATGCTGAGTCAAAATTCTTGACTGCTCAAGGAAGGAATCGGGATAGGATTGTTGGTTTTCGTCTTATTGATGACGTCAGTCTGATGATCGTGAACAAGTCGGGTCGATCGGACAACAACGACCGGATCCGCGAAGAGTTTGAAAATTGTTACCCGAAAAATCTGACGTTGAAGCGCATCGATGACGGTACTGGGAGCTGGGATTTCCTGGGTGTTAAGATGCTGGTGCAGCAGAAGTACCTATACGTCGGCTGTATGCAAGTCTCCAAGAACGAAGAGAAGTTGTGGGAAAGTGAAGAGTTGGAATTCGAAAATGGACAGGGATATCATTCATGGGGCAGTAAGGCCCAAAAGAGCGCGGTCGTTGCTAGTTACCTACATCGCCTGGACAAGAACACTACCAGGAGAGCCGAATTGCTAGATCGGGCACTGGGGTTGTGCCGCGAACTGCGGATCAAGGATTTCCCGATGGAATTCTTCCTACGGGTCTTGAAACGCTTTGCAATAGGCAAAGACAGGATTTGGGATGCTATCCATACCTGGTTGTCAATCTACTGAGCAAATAGCTCTGAAAACAACACAGGCGTTACTTACGGATTATGTGATGACAAAGCGCTGAATGAGTGACGATACGGGCCGATAGATTTTTTGGTTTTGGTTTTGAAGAAACGGGTAATAACGGGAATTGTAGCACTAGGTCCGGCTTCGTGTCGAATGGGTTGTTTGTAAGTTTGCTTTGATAGACAGATCACACCTACGGGAGTGTATGAATGGCTAGTAAGCAATTAAGACTATGATGACCTGTAATAAGAAGTTATCGGCACATATCGAGATGGAGAATTGGGTGGTGTTGTTAAATGTTGTAAAATAGAGTAAATGGAGGGACTGTTCGTAATTGGTGATGGTGGGATGAACTGTATTGTGAATTCGGACAGTATGATCAAGTGATTCTTGAGAAACTCAGAAAGAGTCCGATAACTGAGACAGGTTCGATGGTTGTTCTCCCGGACAATGCTTGTGGGTTTGCTAGGTAGTAGGATGAGGCAGACAGATTCTAACCAGAGCCCGGGTAGTTGAAGTAGTAATGGACACGTGGCTAGCAGGTTTCGGACCTGAGCCCATGTTTTGTTTTGATTGAATTCTATAGGTTTGTTTTTTGCGATCATGCAAGTTTTAGGATGGGGCAGGCAGATTCGAACCGTAGCCCTGGCAATGGAAGGAGTAATGGATTCGATCCCGAGCCCGGGTCTTGTTTTGATTGAATTTACGTTTTCTGAGATTTTGCTAGTTCAAGGATGAGGCAGTTGGATTCGAACCAGAGCCCTGGTGGTGGAAGCAGTAGTGTGCCAGTGGCTAGCGGATTTCAAACACGAGCCTTGTTATTTGTTTTGGTTTTGCTTTTACGATTTTAGTGAGTTCCGTCTATTCCTTTGTCCTGACCGGCCTGGCCGACAGACCACAGCCTGACTGTGGTCTTGGCCCAAGGGCGAGACCAGGGTGGAGATAGTTCCAGTTAGTACTATATCAACAAGACGGCATCATGTTATCGGTCTTTCGGGTTTAACGCAGACGACCATCGTCATCTCCGGAGATGTACGACTCGTCGTGCTGAGGTTGAGGTTGGTGGTGAACGAAGCAAGTACTAGGGAAGGAGTTGTGGAGGAAAAGGGGGTTGCCATGCCCACCGGAGGTGAACCTTGTTGTTGAT